AGCACAGGTAAAGGTATAGACAGAGAGAATAGAAACAAACTCACAATATATACACATGTAAACTTAGTTTCTGATAGAAGGAGCAATTAAATTAATGTGGAAAGCATGGTCTGTTCAATAAATGGTGCTAAGAAAAACTGTTTATGCATATAGAAAAAAACTCAAATTGAATCCATATCGCAGGCCATAGACAAAAATCAACAGAATGGAAAAAAAGCCTAAATGTAAAAGGAAAAACTTGTAAAACTTCTAGAAGGCAATATAAAAGAATATCTTTAGGATCTATCTTGGGATAAGGAAGAATTTCTTAACTAAAATGCAAAATACACCAACCATGGGGAAAAATATTGATCAATTTAAATATTAAAATTAATAGTTAATAATACTATCAAGTAACTGGAAATAAATCTAAAGAAACATGTGCAAGATCCTTACACTGAAAACAATAAAACTATATTGACAGAAATTTTAAAATAAATAAATATATAGTATCTTTGCGGCTTGGAAGACTATATTTTATAGATGTTAATTTCCACCACCATCGTCCCGCAAAAAAATTGAACTATAGAGTTAACATAACCCCAATCAAAATCTTAGTAGATTTTCCTGTGGAATTCGTCAGAATGAATTTAAACTTTATATGGAAATGCAAACGGCCAAGTACAGACAAAATAATCTTAAAACAGAAAGAGAAGAAGAAGGGGGAGGAGAAAAAGAGGAAGGAAAAAGAAGAAACAAAACCAGTAACAACTATAACTAATATCAGCACTTATCATAAAGCTATAACAATTAAGAAAGTGTGGTATGGGAGCAAGGAGAGTCAAATAGATCAGTGGCACAGAATAGAGTCTAAACACAGATCCACACATATGCATGCACCTGATTTATGACAAAGGTATCACTGTAGTGCTGTGAGGGAAAGGATATCTTTTCAATAAATCCTGTGGGTTAACTGAACACTCATATGGAAAAAGAAATGCATCTTAACCCCTACTTCATTCCATACAAAAAAATAAAAGTGTGAAACGTAAAGCAGTGAAGCCTTTAAAAGAAAACACAGAAAAAGTAAGGACACGCACAAAAAAGCTAACTGTAGAGGGAGAAATTTATTTCAATATTAAAAAACAACTTGGGAGCCAACAGAATACAACCTCCTGAAATTTGTCTACCAACTCCCCTGGAAGCTCCTGGCTTTTAGGCCTGTGGTCTGAGTCCCGAGTATAAGTGAGTTCCACTCACTAGTTCATCATCCAATAACATTTCCTGGTGAATTTCCTATTTCCTGGCGTAAAGTTATCCTTCTCTCCCCACACCCCACCTGACCTCACCTCAGACCCTTCCATACTTTCCATGCTACTCCTAGCAACAATCCCCTTTCAAGTGCTAGTTTTAGTATGACCCAGGACTTTTAGTTTCCAAGAACAGAACCCAACAGAGCCTAGCTTTGGCCAAAGGTGAACTCATGGGGTCAATAGCAAATGGGAAGGACATGGATAAAGCTGCCTTCAGATAAAACGGGAATAAAGGACTGCTCCTGGAAGAAGCAAGGAGAGGCACAGTACTCCCTGTTCTTCCACCCCAAGCCTCTGCTTCCCACTTCACAGCAAGAGCCCAACACAAAGAGATTTGACTTTAGCCTTGTTAGAAGAGTTGACTGCTTCAGATCCCAGAATGTCAGAGCTGGACTGGACCTCCAGAATAATTACTTCCAAACCCCTCTAATCAAATAGAAAAACTGAGGCTCAAAGAGGGAAAGATATTTGTCTGAGGACACTCAACGAGTGGAGAGACAAAGTTGGGGCTAGAACTCCCAACCCAGTGCTCCTTCCACTCCACCCAAACTGGCTCTTCCTCCTGAGGCTTTGGCCTTCCCTGAGAACTTCTTTGCTTAAGGGTAACCAGGCAGGCAGACCAAGAGCAGAGCCATGAGATCATTCAAGCTTGCTCAACATATGCCCTCCGTTAAGTTCACTACCTGAGTGTACCCTGCCCCCAACTTATATGTCTCCAGAAGACACTATTCACCCACTTACTCACACCAACGTATTAAGGGCTTAGTGTGTCTTGTCTCCTCATTCACATCTTAAAACAGAAATCTTAACCTCGAGGAATGATGTACTAATGGCAGGATCTCAGGCACAAATAGATGAAATTCTTAATGAGCAGGGATTTCCCAGTATCTAAAACATCATTCTTTTTTTTTTTTTTTTTAATTGTGCTTCAGGTGAAAGTTTACAGCTCAAGTTAATTTCTCATACAAAAATTTACACACATACTGTTATGTGACAGTAGTTGCAATCCCTATAATGTGACAGCACACTCTCCCTTTTCTCACCTTGGGTTTCCCAAGTCCATCCAACCAGCTCCTGTCCCTTCCTGCCTTCTCATTCTGCTTCCAGACAGGGGCCACCCATTTGGTCTCGTGTATCAGCTTGAACTAAGAAGTACACTCTTTATAAGTATTATTTTATGTTTTATAGTCCAGTCTAATCTTTGTCTGAAGAGTGGGCTTTGGGAAAGGTTTTAGTTCTGGGTTAACAAGGCACCTGGAGGCCATGGCTTTGAGGGTTCCTCCAGTCACAGTCAGACAATTAAGTCTGGTTTTTTTACGTGAATTTGAGTTCTGCTCCACACTCTTCTCCCGCTCTGTCAGGGACTCTCTGTTGTGTTCCCTGTCAGGGCGGTCATTGGTGGTTGCCAGGCACCATCTAGTTCTTCTGGTCTCAGGCTGATGGAGTCTCTGGTTTATATGGACCTTTTGTCTCTTGGGCTAATATTTTCCTTGTGTCTTTTGTGTTCTTCATTCTCCTTTGCCTCAAGTGCGTTGAGACCAATTGATGTATCTTAGATGGTCACTTGTAAACTTTTTTTTTTTTTAAATATTTTATTGTACTTCAGGTGAAGGCTTACAGAACAAATAGTTTCTCATGAAACAGAAGTACACATGTTGTTTTGTGGCATTGGTTAACAACCCCACAACATATTAACCCTCTAACTTCTCAACCTTTTTTTTTTGGTGAAAATACATATAGCCAAAGATACACGGTTTCAAAAATTTCTACATACACAGTTCAGTGACATTGACTACGCTCTTCCAATTGTGCTGTTATTCTCACTTAAGATGAAGGCTTACAGAACAAAATAGTTTCTCATTTAACAGTTACTACAAATGTTGCCCTATGACAATGGTTAACAATCTCACAACACATCAACAATATCCTTACTCAACCTTGGGTTCCCTATCACCAGCTTCCTTGTCCCCTTCTGCCTTCTGGCCCTTGTCACTGGACTCTTGTACTTCGTTAGTCTCATTTGGTTTTACGGGGCTGTCCACTCCCAGGTTGAATGGTGAACCTCTGAGGTAACTTCACCATTGAGCTAAAAGGGTGTCTGGGGGCCATACTCTTGAGGTTTCTCCAATCTCCTTTAGGCCAGTAATCTGGTCTTTTTTTTGTGAGTTAGAATTATGCTCTACATCCTTCTCCAGCTCTGTCCAGAACCCTCTGTTGTGATCCTGGTCAGAGCAGTCAGTGGTGGTAGCCGGGCACCATCTAGCTGTACTAGACTCAGTCCGGTGGAGGCCTTGGTAGCCTTCGGACTAATCTTTTCCTTGTATCCTGTTCTCTTCATTCTCCCTTGCTCCCGAAGGGATGAGACCAGTGGCGTATCTTAGATGGCCGCTCACAGGCGTTTAAGACCCCAAACACTACTCACCAAGGTAGAATGTAGAGCATTGTCTTTATAAGCTGTGTCATGCCAATTGAGCTAGATGTTCCCCGAGACCATGGTCCCCACAGCCCTCCGCCCAGCAATTCAGTCCCTCAGGGAGTTTGGATGTGTCTATGGGGCTTCCATGACCTTTCCTTGTACAGGTTGTGCTAGTTTCCCCTGTATTATGTACTGTCTCACCCTTCACCCAAGATACCACTTATCTATTGCCTATTTAGTATTTCCCCCCCACCCCTCCCATCCCTGGTAACCAACAAAGATTGTTACATTTTGTGTGTGAACTTTTTCATGGGTTTTTACAATAGAGGTCTCATACAATATTTGTCCTTTTGTGATTGACTTATTTCACTCAGCATAATGTCCTCCAGTTTCATCCATGTTATGAGATGGTTCACAGATTCATCGTTGTTCTTTCTCGTTGCATAGTACTCCACTGTGTGTCACTTGTAAACTTTTAAGACCCCAGATGCCACTCACCAAAGTGGGATACAGAAAATTTTTTTTAATAAACTTTGTTGTGCCAATTGACCTAGATGTCCCCTGAAACCATGGTCCCCAGACCCCAGCCCCAGCTACTCTGTCCTTCAAAGTGTTTGGTTATGTTCAGGGAACTTCTAAGCTTTTGGTCTGGCCCAGCTGTGCTGACTTCCCCTGTATTGTGTGTTGTCCTTCCCTTCATCTAAAACATCATTCTTTCTATGTCTTCTTGGAAGTATACATATGCCAGAGAAACATTAAAGAAAAGGGAGGTCTAGGTTTGGCCACAAAAGTAGGTTGGTCATACTGGCAGAGATAACAGTAACCAGGCGGACTGGAAAAGAAAGGACCTGCTGGCAGTTTATGCAAAGTTTTTGTTGTTCTTCCTCATCCTAGGCCAACGGCAAAATTTCCAGATTTCCATTTCCTGGTGAAATGGAGACTGCAGTACCTGGGTTGACTACTGGATTTCTAATATTAAGCCCTAAGAATAAGCCTCTTGTTCTTGTCCCTGATCTCCTTCACACACAGGGAACAGGTCTCATGGGTCCCCCTCCCCTCTGCATTGGGAAGAGGGAGTCCCAACTCTACACCCATCTCCCCAGAGCTTCCAGGGACTCACAGAACACAGGAGCCAGAAATAAATGCAGCAGAAGGGGTCTTTTTATTGGAAAGTTGATGAGAAAGGCAGCCCCAGGCTTGGGCATTCTGAATGAGAAGAAGAATGGGCAGTGTGGAAGGGGATAGTGCTACAGGGCCCCAGGACCAAATGGGGGCCTGTAGCCCTGGAGACTTCACAGGTGCAGTGAAGGGGGATTCCGCCTAGTGAGAGAGAAGAAATTCAGGGATGTGACTCAGCAGGTCAAAGGCAGTGAGGAGACAGGGTCAGGGTCAACTCCATATATCTCTCCCCTCCCAGGACCCCAGTCTCTCTACCACCTCCCCATATCCTCTCCATTACCTCCCCATATCCACTAGTCTGAGACCATTCCCCACTGCTCAGCCCTCTTCTGTGCCCTCAGAAGCCCCTTTTCCTCTACCCAGTTCTCACCTCACTGGGTTAAAACAGTCCATCCCGCAAAAACCAACACAGCACTTCTTGGCCCCTGGGCAGTCAGTGTCGCTGCAACAGCGGTTAGGGGGATTTAACATGGCACACTGGATCAAAACCTCAGGGCAGGTGCCAGGCTTACGGAAGAATGGAGGATTGAACCCTTTGACTGGATCTTGACCTTTAACTGGAACTTGTCCTTTAACTGAATCTTGTCCATTGACCAAGACATCACCTTTGACAGGGTCTTGACCTTTAACTGAAACTGTTAAAAGAAGGAATGTACCAACATTTAGACCCAGTGTCCCTGCTTCAGTTACCATTCTTTCTCTTATGTCCAGCCACTGCTCTCTACAGTGTCCTCCAAGCCATGGCCTGAGATGTGGTCTGGCTCTTGGAAGGCTGTTACCTTTTCTGATCTATAGAATCATGGTTCCTTTGGGTGCTCATTTTCCTCCTTCCTCCATTCCAAGTCTTGGGGCTCTCAGGGGCAGATATCAGACTGGAATGACACCCATTGCCATTTCTGAGTAAACTGAGTGGAGGGAAATGAGCCCTGGGCTGAGAGCCAGGAGGCTTGGCCTCCGTGCTGGCTCTGGGAATGGCCTTGACAAATCCTTACTCCTCTCTAGGTCTCGATCCCTGGATGGTGCAGTCTGCACTCGACTACTAACCAAAAGGTTGGCAGGTCAAATCCATCCAGTGGCACAGAAGAAGAAAGTCATGGCAATTTACTTCTGTAGGATTACAGCCATTGAAAACTCTATGGAATGCAGTTCTACTCTGACACACATGATGTCGCCATGAGCCAGAATAGACTTGATGGCAATGGGGAAGGAGGGGTAAAATGGAGGTCTTCAAACTACATGATTTCTGAGGCCCTGTTGGTTCTTAACCTCTTCTTAGAGGACTGATCACCCAGGTGCTTTTACGGGGCAGAGAGAGGCAGCAGACAGAATCCACACTCAGGGTACAGGGTCCCGAGGCTCCTCACTTTGTTGCATGTTCTATACAGGTATCAACACAACACCCGAGGCCAAAGCCACATAACAACACTTCTGCTTCACCAGACACTGGGGTGGAAAGTACAAGGAGCCCACTGGGCAACTTTCTGCTTTCTCTGGATACAATGAAAGCAGCCACACACTGTGGGGCTCCATCCCTGCCTACTGCTCCGGACGTACTCTGTGTCAGGACCCAGGAGGCCCCTCAGAGCCTCTCCTCAGCTCAACCCAGCTCCACCCAGGCCACCTGTCTACTCACCTCCTACAACAGCTGCCTCTACCACCAGCGTCCCAAGGACAAGGAACACCGTCAGAACCAAGAGGCTGCTGGACCTCATGTTGTCAGGAAGGTGTCTGGCTAAGAGCTGAGGCCAAGGCTGGCTTTATACAGCCCCAGCTTGGCATATCACGAGGGGTGGGTCTGTGGTTATACAAGGGATAAAGGTTGTATTCCTTTAGTTCTACCAGGAAATATCCACCTCACATCCTGGGAGGGACCTTAGGGTTTTCCCCAAGGATTATTCACAGGGACAAATGATACTCTGTCACATCACTTCTGATGGTCCCAAGAACAATCCCATGTTCTCATGGATTAGCAGTATTGGCCTGCCCTGAGGCATCATCATGACCAAATCTTTCATATTTTGAAAGAACATGTGGCTTAGAGAAAAGAAACGAATCACTCAAGATCATTCAGCAAGTCAGTGGTAGGTCTAGTCTTCTGATTTCAAAACCAGGGTGTTCTCTCATTACACCCCATTCCTGCCAGTGCCACCCCGACCTACCCTATCTTTTTACCCCTCCCAGGATCAAACTGGAATTGTTCTTCATTCTCCCAACCCTGAGAAAGAACCTATAAGGCAAATTTGCCTTAAAAGTCTAATGACCAATCTTTGCACTTTGCCTATTCACAGGTGGCCTTTGAGATACACCAAGAAAAGTAATGGGGAAGGTGGAATTCTAGGTTTGGAAGGGGATGGTGCCTTTGAAATCACAGTGGGCAGGGAGAAAACACTCACAAAAATAAAAGGAAGAAAACAGAAATTATCTATAAGGTGGATATCTATAGTTTATATGGCCAGCATCCCTTCCTCCTTAGACCAATAACCCTTACATTTAGAGAACTGTTGTTTCTTTCTACTATCAATTTATGTGACTAACAGGGACTGCTCATCATGAAAGCCTGATCCCAGCCACAAGCAGGGGTGTGTGTGTGTGTGTGTGTGTGTGTGTGTGTGTGTGTTACTCAGGTCTATTGAAGTCCTCTATTTGAATGAGCACTAGGGGAAGAGGAAAGTCCTCCCTTTTGGTAAAGTTTAAAGTTGGCAGATATGGGTCTGGAAACTCCAGAAGCCATAGTTCAGTCTGGACTGGATCAACTGTCAGAGAAAAATGAACATAACACACCCAAGGGAAGCAGAGTAGACACGGCAACAGAAGATTAGGAGGGCACCAGTCTTCATTCTCCACTACCTTGAAAGCAGCCCTTCTCACACTCTTTGCACGGTTGGGTTAAAACTCGTGGCCGTCGAGTCGATTCCAACTCATAGCAACTCTATAGGACAGAGTAGAACTGCCCCATAGGGCTTCCAAGGAGCACCTGGTGGATTCGAACTACCGACCTTTTGGTTAGCAGCTGTAGCACTTAACCGCTACGCCACCAGGGTTTCCCATGGTTGGGTTACAAGCCAATAAACTGGCCTTCTGCCTAAACTAATTGAGTTGGTATTCTGTCATTGCCACCAAAAATTCTGAGTAATACAAATTAATACACAGAAGTTGAGTGTTGTCAGGAACAGAACCTGAAGTTTGAAAGTGACTGAGTTGAGGTGAGGGTTGATGCAGAGAAGAAAGTAGACTAATTATTGAATAGAAACCAGTTGATTAAATTCCCACTCCTCGTCTCTTTGGACTCAGACCACATGCCCACCAAACCTAAAACTTTTAAACAAATGTCAGGAAGTTGGAGTCTGTTGGCTACCTTTAAGAAAAAGTTCATTGCAAAATAAATAGTCCAAACAAAAAAGTGTGTAGAATATACCTATGTGATTTAAAGAATAGCATTAAAATGAACAGCCATGTACTCACCAGCCAGGTAAAGAAGAATATTTCTTGTACCTATGCCCTACGCCCCTCCCCAATTGCATTACCCTTCCTCCTCCCACGAAGTAATTACTTTCCTGGATTTTTGGTTAATTAGCCGTTGTATTCCTTTATAGTTAAACCATCTCTATCTGTATTCTAAACTATATATTTTATTTTGCATATTTAAAAAATTCATGTAAATAGAATCATATAATAGCATTTCATATGTCTTGCTTATTTAGCTCAATGTTCTACTTTTGAGATTCAACTATTTTGAAGCCTACACCTTTTGTTCATACATTTTAATTGCTGTACAGTATTTTATTATATGAAATACAAAAAAATTGATTTATCCAATCTACTGTTGATATACAGTTTGACCTAGTAAATAGTGTTGCTATGAACATTCTTGTACATGTCTTTTGGAGAACTTAAGCACTCAATTCTGTTGGGTATATAATTAGGGATGGAATTGCTGGACCACAGAGTATAGATTACAGAGCAGAGACACGTTCAACTGTCAGAGATATTGCAGACAGTTTTCCAATATCATTGCACCAATTTGTACTTCCACCAGCAATGTGGGATAGTTTCACTTGTTCCACAGCTTCACCAATACTTGGTATTATCTGCCTTTTCATTAGCCATTCTAGTGGGCATGTAGTGATATTTTCTTGTGATTTTAATTTGAATTTCCCTAATGACTAGTGAAGTTAAGCCCTTTGTCACATTTTTATTAGCCACTTGGAAATTATCTTTTGGTCGGTTTGCTGAAGCATGGATTATGTGGTGGACTACACTAAATCAAGTTGAAGTACCACACCTGCCTTGGTTCACTGTAGAAGAAGCATCCAAAGACTTAAGGAAACTGGCATGTTAGAGTGGATTTATCAGGTTAGAACCACAGTTTGGTAGGATCAGTTGACTGAAGAAGAGAAAACTCATACTTGGTTTATGGATGGTTCTGCGTGATATGCAAGCATCACTCAAAAGTGGACAACGGCAGCACTATGACCCCTTTCTGGGACCTCCCTGAAGGACAGTGGTGAAGGGAAATCCTCACAATGGGCAGAACTTCGAGCAGTGCACCTGCCTGTTCACTTTGCTTGGAAACAGAAATGGCCACATGTTTGATTTTATACTGATTCATGGGCTATGGCCAGTGGTTTGGCTGGATGGTGAGGGACTTGGAGGAACATGATTGGAAAATTGGAGACAAGGACGTATGGGGAAGAGGTACGCGGATAGATCTCTCTGAATGGGCCAAAGAAGTAAAGATAATTGCGTTTCACGTGAATGCTCACCAAAGGGTGTCCTCAGCAGACGGGGATTTTAACAATCAAGTGGATAGGATGATACGTTTTATGGAAGCCAGTCATCCTCTTTCCCCAGGCACTCCCATCATTGCCCAATGGGCTCATGAACAAAGTGGCCATGGTGGCAGAGATGCAGGTTATGCATGGGCCCAGCAACATGGACTTCCACTCACCAAGACTGACTTGGCTACAGCCACTGCTGAGTGCCCAATCTGCCAGCAGCAGAGACCAACACTGAGTCCCTAATATGGCGCCATTCCTTGAGGTGATAAGCCAGCAACCTGGTGGCAGGTTGATGACATTGGACCATTTTCACCATGGAAAGGGCAGCATTTTGTTCTTACTTGGATAGACACTTACTCTGGGTACAGATTTGCCTTCCCTGTATGTAATACTCCTGCCAAAACTATCATCCATGGACTTACAGAATGCCTTATCCATCGTTATGGTATCCCACACAGCATCGTCTTAGATCAAGGGACTCACTTCACAGTAAATGAAGTGTGGCAATGGACCCATGCTCATGGAATTCACTGGTCTTACCATGTTCCCTATTATCCTGAAGCAACTGGCTTGAGGATGATGGAATGACATCCTAAAGACACAATTACAGTGCCAGCTAGGTGGCAATACCTTGAAGGGTTGGGGCAGTGTTCTCCAGGAGGCTGTATATGCTCTAAACCAGCATCCAATATATGGTGCTGTTTCTCCCATATCCAGGATTCACAGATCCAGTAATCAAGGGGTGGAAATGGGAGTGGCACCACTCACTATTACCCCTAGTGACCCACTCACAAAATTTTTGCCTTCTGTCCCCACAACCCTATGCTCTGTGGGTCTAGAGGCCTTAGTTCCAAAGGGGGGAATGCTCCCACCTAGAGACACAACACAGATTCCATTGAACTGAAAGGTAATAATAAAACCCAGCCACTTTGGGCTCCTCATGCCTCTGTATCAACAGGCAAGGAAGGGAGTTACCATATTGACTGGTATGATTGAGCCTGATTACCAAGGGGAAATTGGATTGGTGTTGTATAATGGACGTAAAGAAAATTACGTCTGGAATACAGGAGATCCCTTAGGGCATCTCTTAGTACTACCATGCCATATGATTAATGTCAATGGAAATCTACAGCAACCCAATTCCAACATGACTACTAATGGCCCGGACTCTTCAGGAATGAAGTTTTGGGTCACCCCACCAGTCAAAGAACCACGGCCAGCTGAAGTGCTTGCTGAGGGTAAAGGGAACACGGAATGGGTGGTGGAAGAAGGTAGTTGTAAGTACCAACTACAACCATATGACCAGATGCAGAAACAAGGACTGTAATTGTTATGAGTATTCCTTCCTTGTATGTGTGCATCAAATATTTTTGTTTCCTTCACTTATAAAATATAAGCTGTAAACTGGGCTACTGTATTTTCAGTTGTACACGTTAGTTGTATCATGTTAGGCACAAGTATGACTATAATTATCTTCATTCAGAGATTGTGCATGTATCGTTTAAGGAGATGTGTACAGGTGCCAAGCTGACAAGGGGTGGACTGTGATGGTTAAGGTTGTGTGTCAACTTGGCTGGGCCATGATTCTCAGTTGTTTGGCAGTTACAGAGTGATGTAGTTTGGCCATTATGTAATGATGCAGTTTGGCAGTTAAGTAATTTTGCAGTTAAGTAATGATGTAATCACCTCCATGATGTGATCTGATGTGGTCAGCCAATCAGCTGTAAGGGTAGTTTCCTCAGGGGGTAGGCCTGCATCCAATATATATGGACATTTTGGCAAAGCTCACTGGTTTTTGCTCATTCTGGATTCTGCATCTGGCTGGTCATCATGTGACCTCCAGTTCTTGGGACTTGAGGCAGCAGCCTGCCATATTGCCTGCCAATCTTGAGATTTGTCGGTCTCTGCAGCCTGTGAGCCAGCAGCCTGCTGTC